AACATTGTGGTGAGTACCTGCGAGAAATTTATGCTGATATTATCGCGAATTAAACTCAACACATCTTCGCTGCCATCAGAGAGTGTCACGGTTCGCGGGCAACCAGTAGCAGCAAGCGCAATGCCAACCAGCCCGCAGCCTGCGCCCAATTCCAGCACATCATTTGCACAAAAAGCTTCACGATTAAATTTCAGTAAATAGTTAGCGAGATCACATGATGCCTAAAATTGGATATTTTTTTTGCAAAGTGCCAAAGGGCTAATTTGCGCCGATGTATTATTTCCGGTGCAAGAAAGTGAACTTCCAGGAATACCTGCCAACATGAAAGACCAGTGGTTCCTTGAGAGAGATGTTCAAATTTCTCACGTACAATAAGATATCGTGAAAAATCATCATCAAAATAAATCCGATGACAATAGGTGCTATTTCCGGCAAGAGAATCCACCAAAGCTTTATAGAGTTGCTCACAGACTTCGATATCTTGTGCTTCTAGCTGGAAAAGCACAACAATCAGAGGCACAATATCCTCCATGTGCACTGAATGCATCGAACGTGCTAGAGATGGCACCAGGTAGTTTATGGATGCAGTACTACGAAATAAATGAGAAGGCTTAAAAAAATCCTTCAAATTTTTTGCACTGGTTGATATGGGCGGCCCCAAGCGGTTGTTCCAGGTTGACAATGACAATGGTTGCTAATAGTACCAGGACTGGTATGCTGACAGTGTGGCCCATGTATGTCAACGATGCGCTGACAGCTGATGCCCTATACACTAAGCTAGTTTTGCTTGGCTGATTCTGATTGTGAACTGCATATGTGCAATTAGTATCAGCCACCAACATGATTTAAGCGTACCAAGGCCGACAATTACCTCGTTCACGTTAGTCTACATTTCCCAATTTCTTTACCCTCTTCTCTTTGCATGCTTTTTTTTTCTCTTATCTCATCTTGCGACTCGCTATATTCGTTCAAACATGGTGATTAGGGGGCTGTACTGATGATTCCCACCCCTAATCACGTCTGTTACTGTCTGTG